CGGGCAGGAAGTCCCTCCCTGACGTAGCACGCTGGTGTGAGTTTATTCTCTGAGGTCTTTGCCTTTTTGTGAGCCCCATTTGTCAGTTCTTTAACATCCACTCCTTTTTCTTTCCAACAGCACTGTCCTCATGTCTACTGAATTTATCAGAATAGGGATGGTCATGGCAAAGAAATGATTTAAACAGTATCTAGTAATAGGACAAATATCTTTGTTCATTAAGTCATAACTAAACTAAATGCCATAGAACGAGGTTATCCCCATCAGAGCCTTTTCACATTGGACAGAAGTTAGCCGTATACTTGTAAATTTTCTGTAAGTCCTGCAAAAGAGTAACATGTCTTGTTTTCTCCACATCCTTGAATTCCAGCTTGGTTTCTAACGAGAGTAAGTAGGGGGTTATACATTGAATGAAATTTAAAATCTTGAACAAAAGTTTATCTGCCCTAACCTAATTCAGTAAGAAAGGAAATTACTTTATTATATCCATTTATAGCCTAAAAAGATATATACACAGATATTCCTGAATCTAGTCACAGATGGAGTAAAAACTTCTGCCATCTGGTTTATAAATGAAATTACTTAATTTCATGTATAATTAGATGCATACACTTTTCCATGCGACGTTTTCCTTTTTTAAAGAAAATGCAAAATTAAATTAAGTGTAATATTCAATCCTTTGCACCGGAAATCTACACCATTCCTTCTTAGTTCTTACAATACAGCATCAGAAATACAATCACAGCCTACTAAACAAAAGAGCTTACATGGTTAGCCAATTACTTTTGCTGAATAAATAACCTCATTGTTAATTACACTGATGTGGCAATGGATTTCACTTAAAACGCATACAAAAAATTAAAATTTATGGTAAGGAACATGAAATATCCAAGGATGATGACATAGACATGAGCTTGGCAGTAGCACACATCTCCAAAGCAAATGCTTCCAGGACCCCTTCTTGATCAGAACTGCTGGAGGGAGGCTTATTTTTATAGGCCGTTGCTAACATAATGACACACTTTAAAAGGTTCTGTTAAACAACAGAACCAACTCTAAAAAAGAAACCTGTAATGTACTAAATAAATCCTTCTGATAGATACCAAATCAGAAGATCTTTATGGAAATCTTTTTGTAAATTGCAGTAATGATGGTAGTATTCTTCGGATAAGGAATAAAATTTTACTATATGTAAAAATTAGGAAGCCTTTATGGTAGAGGGAAATAAATTAAAATGCTATTCATATGGAGAATAACAGTAGTCATGTAATCTATTTACCTTTAAGAAAGATAATTTAAAACTTAATTCCTTGATTATAGGTTATAAATATCCCAAATCAGCATGGCCCTCGTTTTCCATTATTAATTATAATTGTTTAGTTTTTGGTTTCTGGCTTGAACAATTAAATAAATGACAGTGCCATTTATAGATCTGTGGAAGAATGAATGGGTTTAGGGTGTACAGGTCAGAAATTCACTTTTGAACATGTTAAGCTTGAGGCTTCTATGAGGTACACAAGGAGAGATACCAGAAAAGAAAGCATTTGGATGTGTGAATATGGGGTGAAGATGTAGGAATGTATGAATGGGAGAGTCACAGCAGGGTGAGTCAGTGCTCAGGACCTGGTGTCAGATGCCTGGGTTGGAATCCTAACTCTGTTGCTTAGTAGCTGTTGACCTTAACGAGTTATCTAACTCTGTGCCTCAGTTTCTTTATAGCTAAAATGGGATAATAACTAGGTTGATGTGAGAAATAAATAACATACATTAAAAACTCATAATTGTGCTCATTAAGGGGTAAGTTTTGACCATCATTATTCTCATCAGTAACAGCAGCAGCTGTTACAGGTAATATTTAGTCTTTGGAGGGAGAGGGAGTCTAGAGAGAAGAGAGAGGAGGTTCCCAAGTACAAGTCCTGACAAACCCCAATAGTAGAAGCCAGGAAAACAACAATGGGAACTAAAATACCTCCTGCCTGGGAGGTAGGAGAAAGCACCCCGGGAAGGTGTCCTGGGAGCCACGGAGGCCCAGGTGCTTGGTGACAGGCTGGCATCCAGCTAGTGGGGGGGAGCATAGTAATGAGGGCCCCTAATGCTGGTGGCTCCCACACTGAGGTCCAGGTAAATACCGAGAGGAAGCAAAAAGCAACCTACACATCATGGGTATGTGCATATGAAGTCCACGTGTAAGATCACACAGTGGGAGGACACGTACCCAATTCATCCATGTTTGCCCCTCAAGGGGGAGGGCGGGAGAAGAGCGGCCCGATCAAAGAAGACATCACGTGTAGCTATGAATTTCTAATTCTCAGAAAATGCTCTTAAGCAAATGTGACAAAATACTAACACTTGATCATGATGGGTGTCATGTACATGGATGTAATATTATGCACTAGTACTTTTTATAATTTAAATTTATTCACAGCATAAATATTGAAATAAAAATGTATCTCGTGGCTACTACTGCAAAGCCCTCAGAATGACTAAGATGAAAAAGATGACAATACCGGTGGTGGGCCAGGAGGCAGAGCTCTGGGGACATTGATGCAATGTTAGAAGGACTGTAACTGGTGCAGCCACTTTGCACAATGGTCTAGTAGTTTCTGATAGGACTAAATAAATATATCCCCCACGAGCCAGCACTCTACTCACAGGTACTAATCCAAGAGAAATGAATATGCGTCCACAGAAAGACTGGAACAAGAGTGTCAGTAGAAGTTCTATTCACTGTAGCCCAAAACTAGAACCGGCCCAGGTGGCCTCCATGGAAGAGCAGATAAATGAACTGTTATATCCATAAATGAAAGACTCATCAGCAAGAACAAAGGAAGAACCCACTGGTACCTGCAGCACCTCGGCGGCTCTCTACAACATTACACCAAGGGAGAGAAACTTACACGAAAGAGAGCATGCTCTACAAGTCTACTTCTGTGAAGACCGATGACAGGAAAACACATTTATGGCAAGAGAATAGGGACAATGGTCGTCAGAGGAGAGTGTGAGGATGGACAGGAGGCTAACCAGAAGGGCATGAAGTTGACGGTAACGGTGCACATCAAGAGGGGTTGGGGTGGCACGGATGGATGCGCTCGTTAAAATTCAGTGGGAAGTTTACTTAAGATATGTGCATTTTGGGGGTGACCAGTTAGCTCAGTTGGTTAGAGTGTCGTGCTGATAACACCAAGGTTGCCGGTTCAATCCCCTCATGGGCCACTGTAAGCTATGCCCTCCCTAAAAGAGTCAACTATGCCATTGTAGCATGAAAGCAATGTGTAACCAATGACCATGGCTGTTCCCCAATAAAATTGTTTTAAAGTGTGCATTTTACTGTAAATGAATTTTGCCTCAAAAGGAAAATTAATCTGTAAGCAAATATTAAACTACTTAATGATAGGCATGCTGGAGTGTTTAGAGGGATATCTGCAACTTACTTTGAGACACATCATAAAAGGATGGATTATTAGACAGATGGATCAATACACGATCAAACAAGTACAGTGAAATGTTAAAGCTAGAATCTAGGTGGCAGATATATATAGGTGTCCACTGTAAAATTCTTTGAAATTTTCTGAACGTTTGAAAATTTTCATAATGAGGTGTTGAAAACAGCTAGTTAAAACAGCTAGTTGTTATGTAAACATACACACATATCATGTATGGCATGGGTCTCTGTCATTACATATGGTCTGCTTGACGCTGTATTAAGCACAGTGATATTAAAGAGGAGCTTAAGAGCATGTATTAAATTTCTGGGATCATCATGTAAGACACCATGCTTCAATACTAAATGTACTTCTTGATTTACAAATAGGAGACCACACTGCACATAAGATTGGCTTCTAGAAACAGCCAATGCCTCTCCTGTGCCCAATTTGCACCCAGCTCACTCTACCCCCCAAAGGAGACGTGGCAGCATCCTACTACACTCATACGGGGGGTGAGTGGCCATCTCAAAGGGGAGAAAAGCCACTGTGCACACGGACCCCATCTCTCTTTCTTCCTTCCCTGATGTGACGTAAAGCAGGCCCTTCCACCATCCCCCCGCCACCGCACCCCCACCAGCTGGAACAGCCAGCCCAAGGTGGGTACAAGTCTGTTCTCTCTCACAGATGCCTGGCCTCTTGCTCCGGGGCTGCTGGGTACACATCAGAGCAGCTGGCCTCCAAGCGGAGGTTTAAATCGGGAGGAGAATCTGAGGCTCCGGCCTTGCGCGCAGCGAAAGGAATCTGGGGTTCACCCTAACTACCGCACCACTGAAGTGGGGTTCAGGTCAGAGCTCCTGCCAGAGGAAAACGTTTCTCATGTCCTCTGGGACTAGCTCTGCCCTTGTGCCTGTGTCTCTGTGCGCTGGGCGCCCATCACTCAGCAGCCTGGGGAGGAGAAGGGCCGTAGTGCAGGGAGTGGTGTTCCCATCACGATACCCAGTGACAGTCCTAGTATCAGGGACTGGAAATATGCACTGCTTGCGGTCCCTTCTCCCACTTAACCATCTATTCAGTGCATCTTCCCAGGTGGAAACACACAGGTTGGCCTCCTCATGCTTCCCAGCCGTGCTGACTTGGAGCAGGAATGTGAGCATGTGGTCCAGAGTCTGTCAAAGCAGAGGCAGGGAGACCCAGGGCCTCCGGGTCATTAACTTCCCCCACCAGAATACCTGGATTTGGGACACTGCATAGAGCCTAACGGCCTCACAAGAGGGCTTGCCATTCGTCACGATATGATAGTCTGTATTTTCTGTATATGTGCATTGTTTCAACTGGCCCAAAAGTGACCCGGCCCATCAGTGTTTGGTATGCAGGATGCCAAAAACATAGCTTGTCAGATTTTCATTTTCCTAATGAATTGAATGACTACATGTTTTTGCATTTTATATATTTATGTATATGTATGTATGTATGTATATATATATACACACACTCCAGATTTCTGTTAACAATACACGATAATGATGCAAGGAGGATTTTGGACAATTACCGAATGGTACCGTCTATCATCCTTACCTCGTTGGAAGGAATCGTGGCGAAGGGCGTGATGACGGCAGCCAGTGGGATCTGCGCCTGCTTGGCCATGTCTGACGTGCACGGGAAACAGTACGTCGTACAACGAATGTACCGAGGACTCGCGTTGCCTGGAACATTCAGACGCACACTTAGAGCCTGCTCTGAGGAACCCTGTCCCGGGACACCGAGCATCTGTGAGGGTACTGCTGGGTAATGCAGCGCCTGATTCGTAAAACTCCCTTCATGAGTTCTAAAAACTAAAGGTAGTCTTCTGCAATTCCTCCATTTGTAATCTGGGCATACTATAATTTCTTTCAAAATAAAACACTCTGAATTCTACTGCAAAAATATTAAAGAGATGCTTTATTATTTTCATAAGCAGGTTATTAAAATAGCCAGCTCAGACTTGAGAGGTATCTAGAGTAAATGGAAGAGAGAAAGCACAAAAACATACAATTTCTTCTTCCCCCTTCTCTTAGCACATCTGCCATGGGAGAGGTGAGCATCTGTACACCATTTCCTACCAGCAAGTAATACTCTGTCAAATGTGATTCCATTGGACTGTGCTTTTGCTCAACTTGAAAATTAAATTTAGAAATGAAAATTCTACAAGACAAACATTTTTTTCTCATGCTAATCTATTTTTAATATACATTAGGTTTTCTCACCAAGTATCTTTATTTCCTAGCATACATGAGTATTACAACAATATCCATGGTGTGAAGAATGCTTTTGAATCACTAGAATAACTTATCTAAAATAAATTTTGAAATTAAATTACAATTAATGACTACATTATGATAACAAGAATGTAATCATCAAACAGATGTTTATCGAGTGTCTCCTAAGTTTTAGACACACCCTTGGTGCCTCCCTGCAGAGCTTAATGTTCTGTGGAGGACACAGATAACAAACATTAAACCTAGTAAGTGAGGAAACAGATGACCGGTGCAGTTTTAGTAGTGACGAGGAGGCCTCGCTGAAAGGTATCGTCTGAGCAAAGGCTCCAAGGAGGCAAGGTGGGGCCAGGCAGGCACCTCATGGGGTACAGTGGGCAGCACTGAGGTGCAGGGGCCACAGAAAGGCTCCCTCGGGCATGGAGAGGGGTGGGGAGGCCGATGGCGGGCAGGTGCGGGAGGCTCAGAGCCCCTCTGCCTCACCTGTGGCCTCCCTTTGGGGCAGCACAGAGGGTGAACTGAAATAGGGGGACCCCAACTAGAAACTGGCTGACCCCACAGCTCTGAGGTGACACAAAACACTTGTCAAGAATCACACCGATGTTATTCTTCTAGGATTGAGCATGTGACCCATTCAAATAGTATATTCAGAACCTGAGATGCTAGATCTTATCGGGAAGTATTTTAACCTGCAGTAAACAACAGAAAAATCAACCCCACACAAGGCTTGACAGGTAGATGAAACTGACAGCAGACCTGGACAGAGTCAGCAATAGAGCTCAGCCTCTCCTCATCCTAGCTGGAAAGTGGGAAAACAGACCCAAAATGTTAAAGTGCCTGCTAAAAAGGCATTGCTGGGCCAGAAGCAGGCCTGCTGACTTCTTAAAGACTCAATTTCCCCTGCTGTGCTCATCCCACCCTGCCAGGTCTCCAGCTAGTAAGTTAATTAAACCAAAGTAGGGCCTGGACCAATGTCAGCCATAAACCAAACTAGCTTTTAAAACTGGTTTATGTTGCACTGAATCTCACCAGAAACTCTCTAGACTTCTACAAGCAGAGAACAGAATTTGGTTGACAGTTCCTCTCTGTACTTGAGTGACTAAATGGCAAATTGGTCCCATTATCAACTCTAAAGAGATCCCCATGAGTGACAGCGTTACTGAAAGGTATCAGCGTATAAAGCCTGAAAACAATGGTGTGGACATTTAAAAGCTCAATCAAAAAATATTACTGAAAACAAATACCTTGGTCTTGGACCACACAGTCTGTAGTGACCAGGGGAGGGACCTGGCCTCTGGTGCTGGTGACATAAACTTGTCCTAGTCTGGTGGCTCTGTCATTCTCAATCACTTGGATCTGGTCAGTAAAACAGCAAGAGAAAGGCAAAGTAAGTTAAGACTCTTCTCAACGTTCTCTCCCTACCTCTCATTATTCACACATACAAAATTAGGCATTTCCTGAATCTTTCAGCGCATTTCAGATCAAATTCTCACTGACAACCTACCATGTCTTCAGTTCCACCTTTGCTTACCTTCACAAGTTTACAACTTCTGAATTCTATTGTTAATACTCTGAGCTTTGACCCTGACCCTCCAGATTTCAATTTGTTTATTGGGACCACAGATAAGCATTTAAAAAAAAAAAAGATTCTGGTAGAAAAGAAATTGAAAAATAACTTAAAGAAAATATTTTTTGCAGTTAAAACTCTAAAAAGCTAAAAATGATTAAATTCAAAGAACTGATTTGCAATATATGACACAAAGAAGCCTTAACGTCTCGCTTCAAATCCTGCTTGATCTTGCGTTTGCCCACCGCACCCTTGCTCCTTGAGACGTTAAGAGACAGACAGACGGCAGCGTTCGTGTGGGTTTGCAGGGCACAGAAATCAGAAGGAACAAGTCCCTAAGTTGTGTTGCTTAGTTTGGAAACATCTTCTATTTCTCGCCTAAAACATTTATTGATAAAAAATAGAGACAAAAAATTGTCTTTCTGTTGTAATTGTGTCGGGATGAAAATAATGACCAAATCTAGTAGTACGGAGTTAGAGAGAAAACAAGAGTGACTCTTAGTAAGTCTCTTCCTCGCTCCCTGCTCTCCTTCCTCATGGGGCAAAAGAAACAGGCAACGGGTGGAGGAGGGAGTAGAAAGAGGGGAAAAAAGGAGAAATGAATGAGTGCCAACTGGAATGTGCAGCTTTGGAGGATATGGAGTTTTTACATTCCATAGTAATAAACTGTCTTCCCCCAAACTCTGAAACGTTACCTTCTCCATTTTCCCTCCCATCTCATCCCATCCAGACAGACCCTGGCTAGCATGGAGATCATTGGTTTTATGGCATATCAGAGACCGATTTAGCCTGCCTTTAAATCTACATTTCTAATTTCATAGGATTTGAATTCTAATTAAAGATACAGAATATGCCCCGAACATAACTACTGTAAGACACACATGAAACTAAAGCTACCATGGGCAGAGGCAAGAAGCAAACCAAAAAATCAAAACACTATACCCACATTCTATATATTTCAACCACACATTCTATATTTCAGCAAGTATCTGGTTCATTCAAAACTGGAGTAGATTTTATACAGAGGGTGCCAAAAAATGTATACACATTTTAAGAAAGAAAAACTGTATTACAATTCTAAATCTCAATATATACCAATAACAAAAGATGAATACAAGTCACATTTGACTTCTGCAATTACAAGAGGTGCTCAAAGTGGTTCCCATCAGCGTCCAGGCACTTCAGATTACGGAGAACTACTGCTTGAGCAACACTGACCAAAGTGTCTACTTGTATACATTTCTTTTGGCATCCTCGGTATTATCAGCATTTATTATAATCATTTCAACAATGAAGGGTTAAATATGAAAGCAAGAGAAAGGTCATGATGATCTATATATTGAACATAGATATTTCTCAGTCTTCAAACAATTTTCAAAAAGTTTACTTTTAAATTAGCTATTTGCAATTTACAAAGTACTGGGTCCAAAGAAACAGTCATACATGGTAATTACATTTCTAAATTAATCCACATCTTATCTAGAATACTACAGAGAGAGTAGAAAATATTATAACAATTCTAGTAATTTTAAAGACTATATTACTGTTTTTATAGTTTACCTCAAATGTATGTTCTTGAAAAACAGGCTTAGAGATAAAACAGCAGTTTCAATAGAGATTTTGACTGTGACTCGGTACTTAAAGGGTTTAGATTTCACAACAGTGACTCTTCATAATGCCAAAGCAACCTCACAATGTGTAGATTTTAAGTGCCACTAAAATTACTTTCACACTTACCTACTATCAATAGAGTATTTGGGGTTCACAAAATAGAATCAGGAAAGAGATAAAAAAAGAAAGTGATTGTCTTGAGATAAGTGAACAGAGCAAGGGAGGAACACGTCTCTGCAGGCTGCTTGGGCGGGTCTCTGAGCTTCGGGGTGGTGACAGAAAGGGGGACAGTAGAGCTCAGTCTCCCATCCTCCTGCAGATACAGGAAGAGAGGGCAGAAGCGTCCCGACAGCGAGGCCAGTGTCCTTGCCCCCAGAATTTGGACAATGGCACCATCCAGACGGGTGCAGCGAGCCCTGCTCAGACCAGCATGCAGCAGGAGCGCAGTAAACATGATTTCACCCCTTTCTTCCCGGTAGGAAGAATTTTTTTAGTGAGCAAAAGCATGTTAGTTCAGCAATAGGAGCATAGGCTCCATCTGGCATTGCTAGTTCATTACTTTTGAGACAAAAATGATACTGGGCTGATTTTTATGTATGTATTTTAATGTCTGGGGTGAACCGCAGTGTATACTGCTCACTGCTTTTGTTGCTATTATCCACTCATTCATTCGGAAAGTCTGTGAACACATACTACTACGTATCAGGCCCCTCACACAGGAGGCCTTGACAAAAATCCAGGTGAGACAGTGGAGGCTGGCACAGCAGCAGCACTGGGCAGGGCCGGGACAAGAGTCAGCTGAAGGACTGAAGGCAGGAGTGTGAGGAGAGAGGCCGAGGGGCCTGAGCACTGGAAGTGGGGGCGGGGCTCTGAGCTTCCAGGGAAAGGCCTCCACTAGGAATATCTCATTGAAAGCCGTGAGAATGGAAATCAGAGCTGCTCCGCAAACTTTAGGAGCCCACGAAGCATAGGGACAGCTTGTTACAGCACAGGTCCCCGGCCCCACCCCTAGAGATTCTGGATCCGTGGGTCTGGGGTGGAGCCTGAGAACATGGATTCCTAATAAGCTCCCAGCTGACGCTGACGGTGCCATCCCGGGGGCACACATCTGAGTGGAAGCTCTGACAACTGTTGCACCTTTTGGCCAGTTCTCGTCCTGTTCTCCCTTGGTCATAAAAACAACACATCCCCAGGGGGGTGCCCCTTCACTCTAAATTCTGGAGTGATAAGGGCATGAGCCAAACTGCAGCTGCTGCAGCCTACAGGTAACTTAGGTGAGAAATGAATCTTTGCAGTTGTAAGCGAAGTTGGGGATTGTGTGCTACACAGAATAATCTAATGAAAGCTGACTGATACAGTTCCTAGAGAGTAATCCCCAAAGAAAATCACTGCGGTGGAGAAGAATTACATCATAGCTCTAATTCTATATGAAAAAGTCTTGGTTTTTTTTTTTAGTATGCAAAATGGAATCTACTCTGTACTTTCATTCTGCATGGAGATCTTACCTGTATTGAAAGGGGTCCTTTAGTTATTTAAAATACATGTTTAAAAAGTATGGACTTACTGACCATCAATAAATACTGCCAATAGGCACCAGTATAAACATCAATAAATGCTGCCAGGTTTACAGAATGTCAAAGACAAACTGCATAGGCTGTTTCTCTCATGGAGATCCTAGTCTGCCGTAGCCCCCCACTCCGCACACACACAGGAAGGAAGCCTCTCTGTGACGGGTATTGTGCTTCCACTACAAAGGACAGGGCGATGCTAACAAACCGAGCATGTCTGAAAACAGTAAATGCAGAATGGTCCTTTGTCAGGACGCTGCAGGAGACAGAAGAGCACTTACTGGGCTCGGGATCGAGTCAGGGTCCAGCTTCTTCTGGGGCGGAGGTGGCCCTGCCATCTGTGCAGGCCCTCCGGGAAAGCCTCCTGGGTACGAGAGCTGCGCACCTGGCATCTGGGCACCATAGTTGGCTGCTTGGAAAAAATTTTACAAAGAAATGACTATAAGCCGAATCCCAGATGTGGACAATGTCATGCTCTTCAGTCAAGCCTGTTGCAGTTTTCATCCCTTTAAGTGAGGCAGGGGGTGACAGCATGTGACACACGAACATAGGAACAGAGCTGAGTCCCAAGTAAGGACAGCCTAAGGGCAGCCCTAGGAAACCAAGGCCTCGCCTGAGACCTGCCCGCCTTACCCGACTGCGGAGCATATCCAGGGCCCAGGCTCTGTCCTGGGAGAGGTGGGGGCCCGGGGAGCCCGTCCTGCCTGTGCGCTGCTGGAGGCAGGGGTGGCACGCCAGGGCCGTTCAATGCAGTGGGCGGAGGTGGGAGAACCTGAGACCCAGGCTGCAATATGGATGGCTGCGGAGGTCGTGGGGGACCCGGAAAAGACGGCGCCAACAGAGAGCCGGGGGGCGCCTGGCTGGGGGGGGCCATGCCCGAACCTGTGTGAGAAAAGAAACCAGCCCACATAAACAGCGCTGTTGCTCAGTCTTCAACTTCCCCACAGGACACAACGGGGACACCTGTTCTTCTGATACAAAGCAAGAAGGCACCTACACATCTTTTTTTTTTTTTTTTTTTTTTTTTTTAGCCACAAGATGAAACTCTCATTCAGAAAGTGATACAAATGCTATTTGGGGTATTATATACAACTGAGGAATTTTAAAAGGGTAAAAGCAACACGTATAATTTTAGTCAGAAAATTAGTACAGATTTTAACTCAGTTTCATTAGCTTTACATGATATATGGCATTGACTAAGGAATTGTATCTGGTACAAAATCTAGCAAGTCACGTAGAAAAAATATGTTAGTATGTACATTCGACGAGTTATTTGCATCCTGGGCTTGACTGGATCAAATGGATGTCAGAACTGGGTAGGAACATCCGGAGAGAAAGGATGGGCCACCAACATGTTTTCCAATGATACTGGAAATAGCTGGAAAGCCGGATTCTTTTTTCCTTTCTCTGATTATGTCAAATTGAGTTGCTTTGTTGGAGACTTACCCATTTGGAAATCAATAAAAGATAGGAAATATTCTGAGATTTTTTTTTACTGATACTTCTAAAAAATGAACTCTAAGTAATGGAAACATTCTTCCTGAAAACAGATGGACTATGCTGCTATTACAGTGGAGGCTCCTCCGGCCCCAAGAACACACAGCATTTCTACTGATAGAGCTCTCACTGCTATAACTTTTCTCTCCTATTATTCTCTTTGCTGCCTCACTGCATTGAGCTTCCATTCTTCCCATGATCTGAATGCAGAATCAAAATGTACTGTCAGACAATGAGTATTATACTTTTTATTTTAGGGCCCCCTAATGAACAACATGAGGTTAAAAAGCACTCTTATATTTCTTAAAATAATTTTACTGTTCTAATGTTTATTTGTGACACTGCATTCTTTGTTTTTTATTATTCTTGTATTGAATGTAAGTTATTCTGAGGGTCCTTCAATTATCTTGAAATAAATGGCAGCATGGTCAGGGGAAAAAATAACTATAGCCATACACAATACAGGTAATTTATAGAAAAAGCCCCCAAAATGGCTTCAATATGGTGTGTCAGAGTTATGGCTGTTTTAAAAAGGAAGAAATTCTTTCTCATTAAAAACACTCAGGACAAACGGTTACCACAGGTGCTGATGTGCATGGCGTTGAGCTGACCACCCAGCTGGGAGATGGATGAAGTGGGGGCAGGGTAAGGTGACTGTGCAGCAGATGCATATGGCGAATAGGAGGCTGCCGCACTGTTGACAGGTGGAGGACCTGGAAATCTGAGAGAGGAAAAAGGATGTTAAATAATATTATAGAATTTCATATGCAAAACAAACATCAATAAGTTGTAAAATTAAATAAGTCTATCCAGTGTACAAGGAAATGACTGATATGTCTTTAATTAATCTCCATGTGAACTCAAAGTGAATCATGTAGCATCATCCCATATCTATGCTCACAGGCTGAACACGTCAAGATACGTAGAAAAAAAAATCCTAATGTGAACACGGAACCAGTTTTGGGAGTGAATTTGGGAAGCTGAGCCCACTGCAGCTTGTCTGTACTAGGGTTACGGGTCAACAGAAGAGAAATGAGGAAAAGTAACATAAACATTCTCTGTGGTTGCATCTTTCTGATCATTCTCCTTAAAGCCTACCCAGCTTTCAAGAGGAAATGCCATCTGCACTATCATTTCAGTGAGCAGGACATTATCTACAAAATGGCACCTGAAAGCAAATGACTCAGTAAAAAGTTTTGAAATCATCCATTTTTTAATCTAAAAATTTCATCATGCTTTACCTTTCATTTAGTTTGAACTTAATGTTTATTTTTCCTGGTTTTGCATGAAACAGTGACCACCATCTAAACTACAGTACATTCCTATTTTGGTCCATTTGCCAAAAGAGGTTAGAGCCTTCCCATGGAGTCATATTATGACTCTTATCAATTTTAAACAAGAATTAAAATTTCCCAGTGGTACACTCTGATTTCAATTTCTCTTTAAACTAGAAACGAGTTCCCTAGTGGCCTACACTTTTTGCTTTCCATCCTTCACTGCCACTTGGGAGGTTAATAATATTTTAATAACATTTTTTTAAATATAAAATTGTATGAACTATTTATTACATAGATAGTACAGACAGTATGAAATATGTTTCAAATAAAAGTTACGACACAAGCAGCCACAAGTATTTTTTTAACTTAACAAAAGGTTAAAGATTTAAAATATACTGGGTTGTCGGAAAAGTCATGACGCAATTTTGCAACGAAAAACAGAAAAAATATGTCATGATTTTTCCCACAACCCAATAAAATAAGAGAATGTACAACCACCAGCCATTACTTTTTGACCCACAAATGCCTACTTTTTTCATTCATTGCTTAATATAAATCCTAGGAATTAAGCTTCAGAAACACACAAATTTTTTTTTTCTGGCCAACATGAATGTTCTAAGTCTTCAACAGATTTGGATTTTAAAAGCAGTATTACCAAAAATAAAAATAAAATTAATATTAAAAGGCTAAGAAAAGGTTTCACATACATAAAGGAGAAGAAATTAACAGAACATTTTAAACATACAAACTGGTTGAATATTTTCCAGTTTTGTTAATTTGCTAAATGAGTTTATCCAAGGTCACACAGCATGTGGGTGTCATGCTTAAGTGTGAGTCCATTGGAGCCCTAGCCTGGAGACCTGACGCGTGACCGCGGACAAGCCACTTGGTCTCCACAGTCCCCAGCCTTCACATTGTAAGACGGAGCAGAAGGACCTTTTGGAATGGCCCCTTTCTCTGCTTTAAATACAATGTGATTAAAATCAAGAGCCACATAGATGTCAATATTTCTCATGTTGATTACTTCATTTAACAGGTTTCTGGGGTGAGATACACTCTCTTATAGGTTTAATTCGCTGTTTCATTGACTGTCCGGCAAGGGCAGAATCGTCATCAAAAAGAACAGTCAATACAGCATCACCTCCAGAGGATTTAGGAAACACGACAATTTAGACTCAGTTTAGTCCTAGACTCTGGAGAGCTGACTCAGTTGTCCCGGGCCTGCTCTACTCCAAACACTTCTCCTGTTTAAGTTTGCCACAAACTGCTCAGGAAGTGAGCTGTGTGCTCAAGTTTGTAAGAATGTGGAGATGTGGTGCCAAGTTTTTCAAGGTTCGATTGAAACAAAATCTGCATCTTAAAGACTCAGGCCACAGAGTAAAGAGCTGTGCCAAATCCTGTCATTCATCACTTTCCACAAAAAAACAGAAACATCAAACAAACGATTTCTCTTGTTTTTCTTGTTCCCTCCTTTTCCACTGCAACCAATTCTTAATCAGTAGATTCACCCTATCAGCTTCATTTTGGGAAGTTGAGTCTCCTTCCCCGTCCACCTCCACTTGCCATTTCTTGATCAAAATAAGTCGCTTACAACTGACTTTTCCCCTTATAATTAAAAAATGTATTTTAGGTGATAAATTTAATTAGATTAATCCTGCCCAGCAGTAAGCCCTCTGTAAAGAACTTTAGTGCCACTTATAAGTTTAAGACTTTTATTCTGCTCAGCCAAGATCTAAAAGACAAAAGTCTAGGTATGATTTTAAATTTTATGAAATATTACTTTTGAAATAGCAGTATTTTTAAAATAAAAATCATACATTTTAAATTTCAATCAACATAATGACTGAATTATGTTTTGTTTTTATTGGACAGTTCAGTGAAAATTACGATATTTCTTTGAAGGGCCCTTTAAGTACAAGCAACTCCGCTGAAGCACTGTAATCATCAAAGGTCATGCGCACCTGCGCACTCGGACCCGCCATCGACGGCCTGATCCACCTGCCAATCACTGCGCTGCCCCGCCTTGTGCTGAACTATGTACACAGAAGTATGTCCCCTGAGGGCAAGGCAGCCTGGTAACTGCCGAGGCTTAGCATGACTGCTAGACTCGCCCCCGACCCCCGACCCCTGACATCTTCATTTTTAACCCCATTTCCAACCTTTAAGTCACGGATGGAGTTGAAGCAAGTGAATCGTGGAGGAGAGGGGGCAGATTTGTGGGTGCTTCTCTGGCATCATGGGAGGAGCAGACCTGTCAACGGCACTGCCACGAGTAGATGGGCTGAGCCAGCAGGAGAGGCACGCTACAGAGAAAGTGCTCTGCCTCCAGTGGCCAGGACACTGCCAACAGCTAGCGTGGATCGCGTCCCTCCTGGGCACCAGTCGGCATCCTCACGGCCACGCTTACTGCTGGTTCCCAGTGTGACGAGGAAAGCAAAGCAGCTCGGAGTTGACGCACAGTAACTGCCTGAGCCCAGAGGAGCACGCGGGTCCAGCGCCTCACTGTGCAGACGCTGCGCCGAGCTCACCACCACACACTAGGGTCTGTCTGATGGCAAAGCCCACAGTTCACCGAGTCCTAAGGAGCCTAATTCATGCGAAGCAAATGGACAGAACCCAAAGGCCAGTCCAACCCAGGCTACTAGCAAGGAGCCAAACCTTTCCTTCACTTCAAAGCAGCTATTTGATTTTTGCATTTCTTCTGAAATCAAGACATCTGAGATGCTTGGTAGTTCACAACAATTAATTTTTCCAGACTTTCTCCCCTCTACTCTAAACTAGGAATTCCATTTCCTTACCTTACAAATGAGGAAAATGAGTCCTAGAGGCCCCGGAATGTCACCAGCACCCAGAAGAGGTGTCTTGGGCCCCAGGCTTTCTGCTCTCCCCTCGCGCTGCCCCCCAGCACCCCCGAGGGCAGGCAGCAGGGCAGACTCATCCTCTGCTTCCTGCATTTACCTCCACGTGCATCTCACAGCTACCATGTCAACGGCATGTTATCGAGACACAGACGCCCCGTAGGGGATTCATGTGATGGTCTTTAAAACTCCAGAGGGAGTTTCCCACCAGCAGGGACTATAGGCTCCTTGAAAGGAGACTAAATGGCTTCACCATCATTCGTACTGTGAATGGGTCCAGATTCACACTGAGCGGTTCCTCCTTCCCCCACCCCAACCTCACAGCCTCACCGCCTGGGAAAGGAACCTGGAAAACAGCAGCTTCTGGGTGATCCTTGGAGAAATTCCAATGTAAATACTGTCTACTCACAGCAACACCTCCCAGGACAAACAATAATGGGGTTTCCAGCAGAGAAGCTAAGACTCGGGCTCCCTGCTCAGGGGACAGTCCCGCGTGGGTTGTGGGGCTCTGACTATCCCCTACATCTCCTAGCTTGGCGTCTCCAGGCCTGCCTCCAACTCTCCCTTCCTTAATTTATTATAAACACAAACAGAAGACTTCCTGTGTCGTTCTTACTATCGCCCTGCCTTTCAAGAGTCCCTCCCTGGCATCTGTGTGCCTTCCACACCAAATCCAGTCTCTCCCATGGGTCACAATCTGATTTAATTTTCAAAATATTTATCAAGCACCTACTGGCACTGAGCTCAGTTCTGTGAAGGAATCAAGACAACAGGGGATTTAAAGTTGTATTGGGGAATACAGGCTATAGATATCTGAAGGAATTAGAGATTAATTCAAAACTCTAAAATAAGATGAATAGAACCAAAATCTAAAATGTATGGTATTGACACCGTAATTTTTATATATTTGTTAATATGTACTGGTATCATTTTTTTTTCCCTCCTAACTTTTCTAAATGCTTTATATCCCAGGGCAGTGTTCCAGCACATTCTTTTACGGATATGGGCAGGTCAAGAGGTCAAACTTTCAATCAATAAACATGCAAGTTCAGAAGGGACTCATGAGACAATTTTAGCAGAATATGCAAGTAGGGGCTGGAATCAACCTCACTCACCTTTGGGGAGGATGACCCTGGGCATGAGCTCCATTCTGGCCAAACTGGTGGGGTCCAGGAGGCGGAGGGCCCTGTGGCAACATCCCCCCGGGCGCTGCAGCCCCCAAAGGCCCTGCCGGCTTCATCACACCTGTAACAGAAGGCACAGATTTACAAGGGGATGGAGTGCAAAGACACAGGATGCAAAGACTCAGGTTAAAAATGCAAACTCGGAGGGGAGGAGGGCAAGAAATGGGTTAGGAGAGTTTTTGCTTTAAACCATCACAGGCTTACCCATGCCAGGTTCTGGCACAGGCACCTGACCATTGTAACAACAGAGAGCAGAAAAGAAAGAGATCATTTTCATACTAAACTGAAACAGAAGAAATCACTTCACATTTGGTAGAGACACCTTAATGGAACACACTATCACACAAAGAAACTAGAACACACAATGGAAGATGCCAGGTAGCATGAGAAAATAAGCCTGGAAAAACAAAACAACGTAAGGCTCAAAGCATCCTGACCTCTGGAAATGCCTTTGAGTTACAGCATGAGGAAAGCAGAGAGAAGCACCTGTTTGTCCACCAAATCCAGCCTTTGGAGTTCCTCATTTTTCCAGGAACCCACAAACTTGGATGACAGGCAGCTGTGGGACTGCTCAAGTCCCCACACCTGCTCACACACACAGGGGACCACATGTGAGGACTAGGGGCCCCAGGTGGTGGCTGCATTTCCATGAACAAGCAGCTCTTCTCCAATGGAGATCTTTAACGGCTTCTCTTTGACACTGTTCTCAGGTATTTTTCTCTTTTCTTCTAGAGAAAGTGTGGCACCGGAGAAACATCACGGGGCCTGGGTTTGAGTAGTTCAAGGCCCCCAGGCCACTTACTAGCAGATGGATGGCACTGGGCAAGAAGGTTATCTCTGAGGACTCAGTTTCCCCTCACTGCAAAGGAAAGGCTTACACTAGAGTACCTGGGACACCCCTCCTAGCCTTTTAAAAGGACAAAAAAGAAAAAAGTACACTTTTCCGACTTGCTGTCTCCACTTTCGTCCCCTTTTTTGGCTCTAGCCATTCCATTTACTGTCGCTCCTACCCCCCTCTCTGGCACTGTCATCAGCGACGTCCTCACTGCCTCTGCGTATACCTGCACTTGACCTCATGATGGCATCTCATACTCAACATTTCCTATGTCCTTGTATCTTCCTCAAGAACATTTATCCCCAGATAGCAAGGGAACTGACTGGGTGACCCTGCAGTCGCCCAGACAAGCATCTCTTATATTGCCATTGTAATACTTCCCAGAGAGGCATTCAGATGCTCGGATAATCTAGGATGAAATACAACTAATAGAGGGGCAATATTCAGGAGGGATACCAAATTTTTTACAAAACTTTCCTCTCTTAAAACAGGATTCCTCAAACTTAGGACAAATTTTGTATTAACTGTACAGTCACAGTTTTATTTAGCACTTTTTCATATACATAGAATGAAACCAAAAAATGTTATTCTTTTTTTTTTTTTTTTTTTGAATTCCTGAGTTATTATTTTTTTTATTGTTAGTTTCAGGTGTACAGAACAATGCAATAGTTATCCTTTTCACCCTCACAAAGTAACAAACCCCCCTCCCCCATCTATTTCCCTCCCTCCCCTGATATCATGCTTATCTATTACAATTCCATTGACTCCACTCCCACTCTCTACTCCATGTCCCGTGACTATATATATATATAATTATAGTTGACATACAATATTATTCAACATCAGCTTCAGAAATACAGGCAGTGGTCAGGCCTCTACACCAACTAGCTCCGCAGATCAAAAAATGTTATTCTTAAAACACTACATTTTTATATAAAGTTCTAAATCCCAAACCCAGCAAATTAGGAAAAACATGAAGCTTGCAGTCACACAGACGGGTCTCAACTCCTTCCCACCATTTAGCAGCTGTGACCCTGACAACACACTTTAATCTTTCAAAACCTGGACTTGTAACATGGTCGTGGCGGTAATGCCCCCTGGCTCTGAGGACTGTTCTGAGAATAAAATGAGGCAACAGGTCTGAGAGCATCCGAACAGTGCCTGGTACACAAAGGAGACCACTCAGAAATCCGTTTCCTCGCCCCCGCCACGCCCCCTGCCCCACTTTTTCCAGGTTTATATTCTAACAAAACATATACACCATGATTACATGCACGCCTGTATTTTCATTTGTGAAACATTACTGTGGACAAAAGTAGAAAATCCACACCACTAGCACTAAAATAGTAAATAATTACATGCACTACAAGAAACTAGAGATGCTCTCCTTTCTTAAGTAAAAAAGGCAGGCAGCGATCCCACTAACAACCCTCACAGATGTGTCTAGAGAATCAGAAACGCGTTCTCGGAGTCACTCCCGTCTGGGTGCTCCCATGTGTATGTGCCATGCTCGTGTTAATAAACTTGTTTCTAGAAACAAAACCAAAACAAAGAAACAAAGAAAGAAATCCAGTCCCCTTCTATTCAAGCAGAGCCGTTAGACACCGATCTTCCTAAACTGTTCCTTTCCTTTGATGTTTGGAAATCAACTCTATAGCAATGATTCCACGTACACCCAGTGTGCCTTTGAGGCACTGAGCAGGAGACAGCCACGTAAACAAGCGGCTATGCTGTGTGGCGTGGCGAGTGTTCTCCGTGCACAGAAAAGGACGACCTAACTCTTTTGGGGGACCGAGAGAAGTGCAGAGGAAGGACTGCCTGAGCGGAATTGAGGGACAGCAGTTTCCTTAGCAGAAAGACAGGACAGGGGACCCCGGCCCGAAGGCAAAGCTTGAGCAAAGAGCTGAGCGAGCCTCGCCGTCAGTGCAGACAGGGAGGGCAGGGAAGGGCGGGGGCAGAGGTTGTCCAGCTTGGCTGGGGCCAGACTGCAAAGTCCTGTGTGCGATTTGGACTTTCTCCCAGGGCAAAGGGAGGTCAGTATCAGTGTTATCTGAAAAGACACAGTCTTCCCAGGCCACATTACTAGCATTTAAAAGCAGTCAGAGATAAAAAAGAAATCTGGCTCTTTATAGAGAGTGTGAGGCTTTTAATAAGATAGGAAAGCCGTACCCTGAGAAAGAACAAATGATGCTTATGCCCAAAGAAAGCTATCTAAAATCACAAGTGGTCTTGGATCCAGACCCAGGTATTATGGACCAGCTTACTCAATCCCGATCCCACTTCCTCTCGGGCTGGCCTTTCTGGATGGTCCTGAGCAGGAGACAGAGAACCTCCGTTTCCTAGTCTCCCTGACAAACTGGGTTGCCACACCTACTCCCACAGGTACTCCAAATTCAGCACAGCTACACAGGCCCGGGGCAGAGACGCGGTTCTGGGGTAGAAAGGCAGTGGCCGCTCAAGGACCAGTCCTGTGGGGCCAGGGGGAGGGCTGCGTTTCTATGGGCGAGAGTCCAAGCCTGGCTCGCTGGCTCTCTCTGATCTTCACTTCCTGATGCCCTTTATCAATCCCTTTCTGCTACAGTGGTTTCTGTCATCAGCAAAGAAGCCCTGACTAAAGCATACCTTGGATCTGGCCCCTAACCTGACAAACTAAAACCCACATGAAAAACCATTTGTGGAAAAGTTTGTCTAAAATAAAATCCCTGTTGGATTGGAAGAATCAGACTGGTAATGACAGCTGCTCCTGAGACATTGGGTGGTGGCGTGTCACACACGCTCACTACTTACTAGGACTCACTACCCCGCCAGCCCCCAGGACATCAACAGTCCTTGCCTGTCCAGATCAGGGTGCTTCTGCCCCTGAAGGGACACTCAGCCATGTCCAGGGCTTCTGTAGCCACCGCGGGGGTCTGGGGGATGATGAAAGGCAGGCGCTGGAACCTAATGGGTAGAGACCAAGGATGCTTGTGTGGGGGCTCAACAGAATTACTACCTTTCCCCCCAGCTTCTAAGAGCTTCCAGCTGGGCTGATAATCAAATTATCAGAGATTAACAGGCAAAAATCAAATGTTTAATACATAACAGGAGGAATTCACATAAGCATGAAAATTTCAAAGACAGTGAGGCAACACTGGGTTTATAAGACATTTTTGAGGAAAAGCAATGACATACAACCAAGATTGTTCTACCCAGCAATGCTCTTATTTAGAATTGAAGGACAGATAAGGAGCTTCCCAGACAAGAAAAAGCTGAAGGAGCTCATCACCACCAGAGCAGTATTACAAGGGATCTTAGAGGGGCCTCTTTAAGATGGGAGGGGGTTGGGATGGGTGAAAGGGGAAGGGATTAAGAATTACACATTGGTTGTTACACAGTAGTCTTCGGGATGTGGGGTATAGCATGAGGAATACAGTCAATAATATTGTAATAAGTAGGTACTAGATCTATCAGGGTGATAGAAGGGAATGGGTGTTGGGGGCAGGGTGAAAAAGGTGAAGACATTAAGAAATACAAATTGGTAGTTAATACAGTATTGGGAATATAATCAACAATGTTGTAAAGATCATGTAAGGTGCCTAATGGGCACTGGACTTATCAGAGGGATCACTTCATAGATTGTGTCCAATGCACTATGCCTGAAGCTGAAGTAGAATAACATTGAATGTCAAATATAACCAAATACAGTATATAGGTATATATAGTCACAGGATGTGGAGTACAACACAGGGAAGATAGTCGATGTAAGATATAAGATGTCAGGGGGCAGTAGCTTGAGGGGTGGGTTATCACTTTATGAGGGTTTAAATGTCTCATATATTCCTTTGTACACCTGAAACTAATAAAAAAAAAGAAAAAAGAAAAAAAGACATTTTGGGACAAAGGAGAAAGGTGGGGGAGGGGTATTAGACTGTGGAAGTGAGCGTGGGCAATTTCCAGGTAGTTGAGGACGAATGGAACACACATGGCAGGGCATTGTTTGCTGGGCAACCCAGAAACAGTGGGACCCAGCCGGTACCCATTGGGCCGTCAGGAAAGTCCTGACGTATTTTTCTATGGTTTTCAATGCAAAAAGGCAGCACGGCTCTCCCGGCGGCCCTGCCTGAGCCCTCTCACCTACCACACTTGATTCAAATGAGGCTCCGGCAGCACTGGGTTTCTTCCTGGAGCAGGTCTCTGTCTCAGTCTCCTGGGCAGGGAAGTGGGGCGGAAGGGCCAAAGGCTCT